TTGAGGTGGGCGGGGAGGCGACGTGTGCGAGGAGGTAAAGGAGATGGAGAGGGGACGGACGAGGGAGCCTCGCCCGTCGACTGGACAGTGACGGGAATGAGGGGCTGTTCAGTCGTTGGAACAGGGGTGGGAGACGGAACAGTTTCTAGAGACAAGACCGGCTCGGCAGACGAGCCGGACTGCTCGGTGGTGTCGCCGAGGGAGGACGCCGGCTGAGAGGTGATAGGGAAGTCGACGTTGGCGGGATTGAGAATTGGTTGGACTGAACTTGTGGTGTTTGGGACGGAGAAGGGGAATTGCGATTCGTCAAACACAACATCCCTAACGTGAAAAAATTGATGAGTATCCAGGTTATACACACGCCACCCTTTTGTTCCATAAGGATACCCAAGAAACATGCACTTCACGCTACGGGGTGAGAATTTATTTAGAGGTTTAGGTGTTTGACGGACAAAACATAGACAACCAAACACCCGTAGATGACTTAAATCTTGGGGTTTAGACGAAAGGATTTCAAGAGGAGATTTCCCACCTAAGAGTTTTGTTGGTGTGTGATTGATTAAGTAAACAGCAGTTTTGACACACTCCCCCCAAAATTCGACTGGAAGAGACGCCTGAAACATGAGAGAACGAGCAACATTGAGAATGTGACGATGCTTACGTTCTACTCGACCATTTTGCTGAGGAGTACCAACACACGATGTTTGGACACAGACACCCATAGAATCATAATATTGACGCAAAGGGGCATTAAGAAACTCTGTGCCATTATCAGACCGGACTATTTTATTATTTTGGAGAATTGGGTGTGAATCATGGTAAAAAATCGTTTAAGACAAGCTGTTACCTCACTTTTAGTACGAATAAGATATACCCAAACAGCACGAGAAAAGTCATCAACAATTGTGAGAAAATAATGAGCACCAGATGACAAACACGGGGAATAAGGACCCCATAAATCACAATGAATTAAATCAAAAATTGCTTCAGCTTTAGTATGACTAACAGGAAAGGAAGAACGAGTTTGTTTAGACAAAAAACAAATCTCACAAGCTTGAAGTTTCTTGATAACAGAACCTGACTTATTGGACGACTTTAAAAGGGAAATAATATATGAGGAAGGATGACCCAAACGTTGATGAAGAAGCAAAGGATCCACGTTAGCCACATTAGCCGATGCAGAGGAAGAAACTAGAATGTATACTCCGTTTCGCTTTTCACCATGTCCAATCACCATCTTCGACGAACGGTCCTGTATTACACGACCAAAATCATTAAAAGTAACATAACAGGTGGTGTCCCGAATCAAACACCCGACAGAAATCAAATGACAATGCAACGTGGGGACGTAAAACACATGATGGAGAACCAGACTAGAGGTCACACGGACACTTCCCTTTTTAGTAGCCTGAATCCGGGAGCCATCGGGAAGACAAATAGGATGAGATAAAACATCCTCAATATTGAACATGTGAGACAGAGTACCCGTCATATGATGAGACGCACCGCTATCAATCAACCAATCACACGAGGTACTAGTCATCTTGTTAATTTTATGTTGATGTGTACCAAATAAATCCAAACTACTGGACAAATGCAAATTGGTAAACGGACTTGACAAACTGAGCACTGGACGGCCCACTTGTGGGAAAAGCTGTTGTACAATTGGACAGGCTGGAAACCTCTTCGTAGACGATCGGAAACAGAGGAATGACCGGCGAACAGGGATGGCGATTCTTCGCAGATCTGGGCGACTTCAACGGAAAAGGGAAGTATTTGGGACGGCGAATCTGGCCGACGACTTCAACGGGCGAACAAGGGGACGGCGATTCTTCACAGATGACCGGAAAGAGGACAGGCGAACAGGGATTCGCCGGTGACTAGGACAGAAACTCCCAACCGGGGCAGAGATGGCCGATCCCGTGACGGTGACAGCGGAAGAGACTTGACAGTTCACCGGCGTGGACAACTGGCGCAGACAACTGGCGACTTGCACGGCAGACCTAGGGTTTCACGTGATATCACAGGTTTGGCTCTGATACCATGTAAAGGAACCAACTCAACCAAAAGCTCAAGCTTGTGGTTGTAGCCCAGGAACAGTTATTTATATTCTAACAATTCTAACATGGTATCAGAAGAATTTAGAATGGGTAGGGATCACTGGATTGGGCTATAAGACACTTGGGCTGAATCACATTAAAAGATTGAATCTAATCGATTAGTTACTTCAACTCTAGAGCTTATATACCGATTATTTTACTCTTGGATTTTCCGATGTGGGATGTACTTTAACACTCCCCCTCAAGTGGACAATCGGGCCATTTTGAATCTAACCGGTTGACCACTTGCAATTGAACTCCCATTCCCTTTGACTTTTTTTTATGAGAGCCAACACCTAAAGGACCACGAGCCGCTGGTTATAGACTTCCAGACGAGCAATCGTGTTAAACAGGCCACAGGCCGTTGGGTACAACCTCCATACGGACAACTGGGCTAAAGACTTACGGGCCGCTAGGAATGAACGTCTAGACGGACACCTTGACAAACGAGGTGGGCTAAAACTGGCTCTGATACCATGAGAAATTCCGGCAGGCCGAGAACAACGAATAGAGTGTCGGGTAAAATAAACCACTTGCATACAAAGTCGGGATCCACAATTCTAACCCAAAAGCTTAAGCTGATAGGTAGGGCTTCACCCTTCAATATATGCAAGTGTTACTTTTCTTTATTTTCCGATGTGGGAACTCCAACACTCCCCCGCAAGTGATAACTAGCCTGGCCTAGTTAGCACTTGGACAAACGGGTCTAGCATCTCAATCTCTGATAGCTAGCCCACACAACTGGCGGTGGCATCTCAATCTCTTTTTAGCCAACTCAGCCCAAACCACATACAGGTAGCTCATTTTTTGCTAAACCCACATCCAAACAACCAGGAACAATCAAACCCGGACCGGACCTGCTTTGATACCAAAAAAAAATTAAGGTTTCACGTGCAAGGCTCGAAAAAGACTACGCCTGCACGTGAGGGGGCGTGTTAGAATATAAATAACTGTTCCTGGGCTACAACCACAAGCTTGAGCTTTTGGTTGAGTTGGTTCCTTAACATGGTATCAGAGCAGGTCCGGTCCGGGTTTGATTGTTCCTGGTTGTTTGTTGTGGGTTTAGCAAAAATGTGTTACCCGTATGTTGTTTGGGCTGAGTTGGCTAAAAAGAGATTGAGATGCCACCGCCAGTTGTGTGGGCTAGCTATAAGAGATTGAGATGCTAGACCCGTTTGTCCAAGTGCTAACTAGGCCAGGCTAGTTACCACTTGCGGGGGAGTGTTGGAGTTCCCACATCGGAAAATAAAGATGAGTATCACTTGCATATATTGAAGGGTGAAGCCCTACCTATAAGCTTAGGCTTTTGGGTTAGAATTGTGGATCCCGACTTTATATGCAAGTGGTTAATTTTACCCGACACTCTATCCGTTGTTATTGGCCCGCCGGAATTTTAACAGTACCCAAAGTGCACCATAGAAGCACTCTTCGTTTCATGGGGAGAGAGAGTCCATTTGTAAATTATGAATTGGTTAGATTTAATATGACCTAATTGTGTTTTTGAGTTGATGTTTAAAAATTATTCCACTTCGAAAGTAATTGGTATATCGAACTAGATTTTAATCGATTAAATTCGATTCTTAATGTAATTCAATAGAATTATTTTATTACATAGTCCAGTAATTCCTACCCTACATTAAATTTTATGAGACCCATTATCGGTATCACACCACCCTTGACGATGTCTATTTAGATCATCTTCCTACCAACAAATTAATGCCATTAAACATTTTAAAAAGGCATATTAGAGAAATTCGATTAACACATTGTACAAAGGACATTGGATTTATAGGATTATGTTATGTGTACCCCAAGGTTTGTACCCCAATTTGTACCCCGTAGTTTTGCACCAACATTTTGTGTTGGTGTAAAACTAATTTTTGTTAAACACACCAACATTTGTGTCCGTGTGAATTTTTGTTAACGCACCAACACTTGTGTCGGTGTAAACCATCGAAATGTTTGTGCAAACCTGTGGTGTACAAATGGGGTATATTTTTTGGTGTAAGTGTAGCATGGTCCTTTATTTTAGCCTTTTAGGGAGTATTTCCTTTTGGTGGGATCAGCTTTAATAGTCTGGCCAAACGAGCTTACAAATTTGGGTTTGGAGGGATATCAGAGAATATAATAAAGGGGCACAACATAGACCCCACACAGACCATTGACTTAACTCACTTTGTTTACACATTTTTATTTGGACCTTTTTATTTTACAAATGATGACCCTCATTCCAAGGTTACAGACACCCGGTCACACGGTCACTGAGAAGAGGTTAATTTAATTTTGAACGTAGATTGATAATAAAGAATAAATCGTACACCATGTACTTACAGAAACTATATGCTTAACATACTTTGCTTCCAGCTCAATTGTCAAGAATTGATCTCGAGTTTTACCCCTTGGGCTTTGACACTCCTTGCCATGCCAACTGCATAACGTTCACGGGCACACTTTTTTATTTTAGAAAGGATGAATCAGATTCTTGAAGATCCTGCAGAACTGGCCGAAATAAATTGAGATTTGTTCGCAGATCGGTAGCAAAAAAAATCATTAGATGGTATATATATACAGAGCTCTATGCTTAGTATAATTATCTATCAGGCACCCATTATCTTGCCAGGCGGTACAATCTCAATCTTGGAACACATGTTTTAGTTTTGAAGGTGATGGGTGTTAGGCCCCCTACTGCAAACAAATGGAAAGGAAAAGAAAAAGAGCACACAAAATATTTAACGTGGTTCGGCACCTCAAGACCTACTCCATGACCCCCTCTGGGATAAAATCTCACTAGTAATTTTTGTACGGAAAAATTACAAACCTTCTCCAATATTTGACACTCACAACCTAAAATCTAATACACAATTATATAGATTGAAGGATTGTGTTGTATGTTGGAAGCCTATACACCCTCTCTATTTATAGACTCTAATCTCTTCTCAAATTTCCTATTCCACCGATGTGGGACTTTGAAGTAACACTCAACAAATCTCCCCTTAATTCAAAGTCCTACATCATTTGCGATTTCTGCAGTGATACTCCCATCCTGCAAAATCTTCTGTCCAGCAGTACTCTTATCTTCAGAAGAGATCATCTTCATAAGTGATCACATTTGCAGAAGAAGCTTCCTTTGATTTGCCCTTCTTCTCCTTTAGGATCTGCAAATCCTCCTTGAGTTCTGGACAACCGTTCTTTGTGTGACCCAACTTTTCACAGTAATAGCACCTAACAGTGCTCATGTCTCCCAGCTGAGATCTTCTCCCAAGTTGGTCACTCTTCTTCTTCCTCCATTTCTCAACACTCACAGCAGCTAGTAAATGACTGTTCCCGGAAGACTCTTCACCTCCCATCATCCTTTGACTCTCCTTCAAGGCATTCGTCACCTCATCTAGTCGCAGTGTAGTCCTTCCTGCTATCATTGACTGCACAAACGGCTTAAAGGATTTTGGTAGTGAAGCAGTAGAAGCAGCCCTTGCTCTTCATCCTTGATAGTCTCCCCTGCATTTAACAACCTTGATACTAGCTCATTAAACTTGTTGATGTGATCAGTTACGTTACCTCCCTCTTCCATCTTCAGTGAGTACAAGTTCATCCTCATCATCAACCGGTTAGTAAGTGTCTTTGACGCAAACTTGCTCTCCAACGTTTCCCACAGCTTCTTTGGTGATGTCTCTTTCAGCACAGTCACTTTAATCTGTGGGGACAGTGCTAACCGAATTGTGCTGACAGCCTTCTTCTGGATTGTACTCCACTCTTGTTCTTTCATATCACTTGGCTTCTCATCTTGCAATGCTAATTCAAGACCTTGCTGGACCAAATAGTCTTGAATAGTGCATTGCCACAACATGAAGTCCGTTCTTCCATCAAATAACGAAACTTCAAACTTCAAACTTCAAGGTAGTCATAGTACCACTCAAACAACAATCAACCAATACCAAACAATCCAAATTTGAGGAAACTGGCCTCAAAAATGGAATCAGGACGTCAAAATTAGTCAGAACCAACTTCTCTCCAAAAATCACCAACGGGACCCACGCGATGACTGGACCTGCTGATGTGGCGATGGGACCCACTGATGGCCTGCTGACGTGGCGATGACAGGATGATGACGTGGCACTCGAGACCCACAAACTGCTGACGTGGCACTCACGGACCCACCTCTGCTGACTGGACCACCACCTCCTCCGCTGAAGTGACACTCCCTCCTCTTGCTCCTTCCTCTATCTCCTTTCTCCTTAGACTGCAACTATGTAATTAATAATTCTTTTCTGATGTGGAAGATCAGTCAAAGCTGCAACCACAGAGCATACTAAGAATTATAATTACCAGATCAACTAGGCTCTGATACCACTTGTTAGGCCCCCTACTGCAAACAAATGGAAAGGAAAAGAAAAAGAGCACACAAAATATTTAACGTGGTTCGGCAACTCAAGACCTACTCCACGACCCCCTCTGGGATAAAATCTCACTAGTAATTTTTGTACGGAAAAATTACAAACCCTCTCCAATATTTGACACTCACAACCTAAAATCTAATACACAATTATATAGATTGAAGGATTGTGTTGTATGTTGGAAGCCTATACACCCTCTCTATTTATAGGCTCCAATCTCTTCTCAATTTTCCTATTCCACCGATGTGGGACTTTGAAGTAACACTCAACAATGGGAAATAATACGTGGCTCGGCCCACAGTTCCCAATTATTTACGAAGAACAGTCAAACCGGACCTGTTTAATAAAATTGAGGAATAAGAGAATATTCCCCGAATATGCTCCCACCCTCTCCTATAAAAGGGAGGGTTGCCCTAATTGTTAGGGGGCCAAAAAAAAACTCCTTCCCTGCCAATTTACTCTCTCTCTAGAAACTTTAGATTAGTTTTTGTCTTCCAAGAGCTTCTAGCTCCATTAATGGCTTCTGAGCACAATTCTTGTACCGTGTACACACCCCCGATATTAATAAAAATCCCCCGTTGGCAAGGTACCGCCAAAAAAGGCCCGTGGTTTTCTCCCGATTTGGGTTTCCACGTAAAAATCCTCGTGTTTATATTTTGGTGTATTTTTTAGACTAATTTATCGTTTTTAGCCGGGCTAAAAACGATATACCGGTCGATAATTTACACCATCATTTTGGCGCCACCCGTGGGACCTGATCAAAAGGCTATGTTTTGCTCTTCATATTCTTGCCGATACAGGGAAGATGGTGGTATGGTGATTGATTTCCCCCACACTGCAATGAAAATGGTAGAGCACAATACACCATTTTCAAAGGCAAAAGTGAGCACATTAAAAGCAGTTTCCAAATCCAGCATTTCTAATTTCAAATCAAAAAGGCTACTGCGGCGGCAACATTCCGCGCAGAATCTTCAAGGAGCAAAAGACGGGAGGCCACTTCTTATGCCTCGTAGCAGAGGATCTTCTCTCTGTTCCCACCGTGCCATTTTTTCCTAGAGGAAGACAACGACCAATCCTCCTCCTCCGCCAGTAACGGTGTGGAGGATACCATCTGCACCGGCATCGCCATTATGCACGACATCAGCATCGCAGCCCCGACCCACACATCTCCCGCAGCCACTGTCGAAGAGGAGGAAGGAGACAACCACACAGCCGGGGGCAATTCGCTTTTTCTGGCGCCAAAGTTAGCCATTACTCTGACCGAGAGCAAGCGGACGAAGTCTATCACCACTGTCACCATTAGATTTGTCATCATCGCCATGCATGCCAGTGACCGGTGGTCATCGGTGATGCCGCCGAAGTCCGTTGTAGCCAAAGTCAGCCTGCTACCTCAAAAGACTGCTGCTGCTGCTTAGGAACGTGGAGGTGTACTTAACAGTGACCAGAGTCACCTGCATCGCCGTCAAAAATGAAGTCCTCACTCTCAAGGACACCTCCCTCTCCAGCAATCTGCTCCGACAATGCAGAGAATCCACACTGCCATCGTGAATCTTGGCCTGGACGCCAAAGTCGAAGCCACCACTCCGCATTCACTGGCCGTGCTCGAGACCCCGTATCCGCCGGCCGCTAGCTCGTTCCGGCCAAATCTGATCAAGTGCGTCGATTGGGTCGCCGTTTCTGATCAATTATTTCGCGTACATTCTGTACAAGGCTAATTCGAAGCAGGCGTCCCTCAGATTGCTCTTCCAGCCCAGCGATGGGATTGTCGACCCCAAAACCGGTCTCCACTTTGGCAAGATGCTGTTGGCCCAGCTTGTTCATCTCACATCCAGAGACAAAGGGACGAAAGAGGGAAGGTGCATATGTTCACATGCATTCATCACTCTTTTTTATAAAGTGGGATGCTATGGATGTATCAACAAGGTATAGGGTCCATCATTGGGCATCATTGTACGAAAGCATGCAAGGGAAAGGAGGTGGAAGAGATACTATCAGGGGCCCACCATTGATTAATGAAAGAAGAGGGAAGCACGTGATTTTGGAAGAGTATGGAAAGGAATGGATATGGGATCATGCCATTATTCATGGCCCCACAATCATGGATGAAAACATCATGGGCCGATTCTCATGTCTCCCATTTCCAAAGGGATGAGTTCAAGAGGAGCAAAAATATTGTATCCACGCCAAATGGATATACCCATCCCGCTTTGATCCACTACAAATTTTAGAAGGAAGACTGGGACACAGGCCCAGACCTGGCACGCTGGTTACTACACCGGTCTTGCTCAGTATAAAATAAAAAAATAATAAACCCGGAAGAGGGGCCCGGAAGAGGGTATGCCTGCAAGAGGGCTGGACCTGGAAGAAGGTTCAAACCGTACTTACACGGGCCCATGAGGTTTGACCAGTATCGGGGAATCAGCCGGTGCCGTCAAACTGATTGGGGACTAAAAGATGCCCATTAAAAGAAATAGAAGAGGGATCGTCCACCGTGGCTCATCCTATTTCCCCCTTCTCAGGGAAGACTTGAACGGGGGGGTGAGCTAAGGCCTTCCCGGGATAGTAAATATCAAAGGGCCATTAAAAGACTTAATCACCCGGAAGAGGGGGCCCTGGAAGAAGGGTGCATTTTGGGCCTTGGAGAGGGCTCGAAACCATCCGACATGGTTAATTCTCCAATGTTGATCTGGCCCGGCCAGAAGCATTATCTTATTAGAAGACTGAGACACATGTCTGGCCTGGCACGCTGGTTACTACACCGGTCTTGCTCAGTATAATAAAGAAAATATGTGACCCAGTCGAACTGGTACACTGGTCTCACACCAGTCTTACACATATTTTCCAATAAGCCTGAGCCCAATCGAATTGGGTACACCGATTGCACACCGGTTTTAGCAAAAAAGTGAGCAAAGCTCATATCGAGGACGCCCGATTCATTTAAGCCCTCTATTCGAGGCACTTTGATCGAAGATGGTCTCCGCGAGACATGAAGATATTTACATCAGTCAGCCAGGCTAACGCTGATCTTCAACAAAGCTACTGCATCAGATTCAATTCTTATCAACTAAAGTCAATGTCGTCTGTATACTAATTTCGTCATGCATCGTTTACTTAGTTCGTACTAACATCGGTCTCGACGAAATAACTACTTGAAGCACCGCCGCTTCATCGTACTAACTCCGGTATCGTATAACTACTCGAAGCATCGTTGCTTTATCAAACTGACATCGCTCTTGTTATAATAATTATTCGCGCGCAATTTAACCACTCTAACACCGAGCTCCTCGGTAAAGAAAATAATTTTTTGAGCACGGCATAGGCCGGTCAAAAAAAAATGTTGTACATATTATTTTTGCAGGAAAAACCTTCTGATTCAAGAAATTGGAGAATTAATGAAGACTCGGAGGACTAGCAATAATATCTACCGGTCAAGAATTCAAAGTACGAAGACTGAAGATTACGTAAAAATCCTCGTGTTTATATTTTGGTGTATTTTTTAGACTAATTTATCGTTTTTAGCCGGGCTAACAACGATATACCGGTCGATAAATAAGTCCTCCGGTATATCGTTTTTAGCCCGGCTAAAAATGATAAAGTAGTCTAAAAAATACACCAAAATATAAACACGAGGATTTTTACGTGGAAACCCAAATTGGGAGAAAACCACGGGCCTTTTTTGGCGGTACCTTGCCAACGGGGGATTTTTATTAATAGCGGGGGTGTGTACACGGTACAAGAATTGTGCTCGGAAGCCATTAATGGAGCTAGAAGCTCTTGAAAGAGAAAAACTAATCTAAAGTTTCTAGAGAGAGAGTAAATTGGCAGGGAAGGAGTTTTTTTTGGCCCCCTAACAATTAGGGCAACCCTCCCTTTTATAGGAGAGGGTGGGAGCATATTCGGGGAATATTCTCTTATTCCTCAATTTTATTAAACAGGTCCGGTTTGACTGTTCTTCGTAAATAATTGGAAAATGTGGGCCGAGCCACGTATTATTTCTCATCAGAAGGTAAAGGATGGCATACTAAATTGCTAATAGTCTCTCTCTATGGCACGTTTGTGAAAAGAAAAAAAACCTTCCCCAACTCAATGAATCGCCAATCTTAACCCCTCTAATTTTTTAAAAAGTTCTTAAAAATGTTGAAAAAGAAAATTTATTTAGATAAGAGAACTAAGACAATGTTCTCTTCGCGTTAAAGATTCTGATCTGATTGAAATAAATTCTAATCTGCTCTGATCTAATTTAATTTAAATATATTTATATTTAAAATTATTTTAGATCTGAACTGGTCTGATTCTAATATCAAAAAGTAATATGTAATAAGAATATGTTGAAGAGAAGATGACATGAGTCACATTTCCAATACTAAATAAGGTATCATCTCTATTTCATAGTGTTTGTCCAGTTTTGATTATTTGTAATAAAAATTGACAAACTTTTACATAATTAAATAAAATTGATATTAGATATCTATACAAAAATAAATTTATTAGATTCTTTTGTAATATATTTTTGATATATTATTAATCCAATTAATATATTACGGAGTATATAGTTCTTAATTAATTATAGGTCGAAGGTCATCAATCCCTTCATCTCTTTTTCTTCATGGATGCAATATAAACTGTACAACCGATTGTACGATGTTTTTCGTACATCCGCAATGAGTACTCATTTACAATTAATTGAATGTTCATTTTTGAGCAAATGAATATTCATTTTCAAGTAACTGTATCATCATTTTTATAAAATCCATTATGGATGAAAATAAGCATTCAGATACTCGCGAATGAGTACTATGTTACTCGAATGAGGATTCAGTTACTCAAAAATGAGTATTCATGCGAATATATAGAAAATACCATACATCCGGATGCATGAGATAGGTATTCATTCATGGAGTAGGAATTATTTTTTCTCTACATTTTCGTATTTTTATATTGAGTAAACCGGTCATTTATAACAGGGGGATTTCCATATTTAGTCATCTATTATCAAATATTACCCTGTAGTCTTTTTTTAAGGGTGCATTTCCATAAATGGTCCTTTTTTGATCTTCTGCCATGTTGGTGTTAATTTAAAGGCTAAAAATATAATTTGACATCAATATTATGTCTAGTGACATGTTCTGATATTGGTTAAGCGTATAACACAAAAATAATGACTATGATTGTGGGCTAGGATTTCAACGAAAGACCACATTTGTAGAGTATGGTTGTAGTTGAAAGCGATTGTAATTCACAAACGACGCAAACAGAACAACCTTTGGAATTGTGAAAGACGAATTTAGTCCTTAAATTAACACCAATATGATAGAAGATAAAAATGACTATTTGTGAAAAGATACTCATAAAAGAAGAACTGCTGGGTAATATTTGATAATAGATGACTAAATAGAGAAACCTCCCTGTTATAAAGGACCAATTATGAAATTTACTCTTTTATATTTTCTCTTTTCATCTAAACAAAGCATTAATCTCACAGCGACGAAGCTAGTGGAATGGGGGCACCTCTCTCCGCTTCTACCCGCGACAAATACAACAATTTTTAAAAACGTGTTCTCTGTACTCTCAATTACGTTAATAACAATGATTTAAAACTCAGGCCGGAGGTCAACCCAGCGGAGAGGCCAGGTCCCAGATTTTTCCGGGTCAACCCAATTTTTTTCGAGTTTTTGAGGGGTTGGACCAGACTGATTGCATGTTCGGGTCGCAGTTCAACCAGTCGGACTGCCCAATGCAGTCCAAGTTTAAAAACACCAGTGAATAGAATGATGGTTATAGACTTAGTGTCCCTCCACAAGCAAATATATTTAGGTTGTGAGGGGGGGATTGCCATGAGAGATAGAGGGAGTATGAAATTTTTTGATTAGTGTCATGGTTAAATTACACAAATTTTTTCAAAGTTTGTGTATTTTGTATTAAAATGTTTGTAACTTTAGCACTTCTCTTCCTCTTAATAGTTAATGGAACTGAGATTATAAGTCAATTTATCTCTTTTCAAATCATTAAACATAAGAAAATGGACCCGCACGGTGGTCCCCGGGTGGTCTCTGTGTAATAGTAATTCCGTGAGGGAATAGTTTTAATACTTCGTATTTTTTTCTCTTTTTTCATTTTTTATTTTAAATCCGTCCGTGACTCCGTCAATGATAACGTTTGCGCCAATAATTTTACGTGCGAATGGTCAGACCACCCACCCACAAAACGAGGGACTCCACAACGGAAATAAAATTTCAAAAAATAAGGGCAAAATTGGTAATTTTAGTTTCTCCTGCGGCCCCCCTTGATGGAATGGCGCCTTTTACCCCTACGGGACGAGAGTACATTTTTTGGGGGTAAATTTTAGCTACGAGTATTTATTTACTCTCTTCGTCTAAAACATTTTACGCAACATTGGGAATATTTTGTAGTCTTTTCAATTTATTTTATTTTCAAAATAAATTGCATATAAATAATTCATAGAGTCAAAATTTATTTACTTTATTTTCTTATTTTCATTAGTTATTTTATAAAATAATATAGTCATATCATATTAACTTTGTATGTTTTTTAATATAGTTTTTTAATATGTAATTTTTATTTTTTATTTCTATACCATTTTTCATATAAAACAATTTGATACTATCTTCATTCAAACATCGTAAATCGAAACAAGCAGTTTAAAATGGGGCAGAAGAAGTAATTATTTAAAAACCAAATCAAAATTCTATTTTATTTTATCAAATAATTAATCAAAATACACAAATAAACAAAAGTTTTTGTAATTTTAGTGAAAAATATAATTCTTTTTAGGATGAAAAAGCACTCGATTTTTTTTGCATTTATTAATAGATTTTGTTTTTCTTCTTCAATAGTCACCCCTTAAATTCTCAAAAAGTCAAAAACGAAAATTTATTTAAGGATGAAGGGAGTATTTATTTGTAAATAACTCTAAGAGGCTGTTTGTTTCAGCTTCTTAATGGTTCAGATGTCTGAATGGTTCAGCACTTAATGGTTCAGACTGTTTGTTTCAGCCTCTTAATGGTTCAGATGCCTGAATGGTTCAAACATTTGCATCTGAATGGTTAAGTATTATACAGAGTCTGAATGGTTAAGACCTCTTATCTGAATTGATCAGACATTTGCCTCTTATCTGAATAGCTCTCAATGGTTCAAACCTCCTACTAGTTCAACACTTAATGGTTCAGACTTCTTACTCATTCAACACTTACCTATTCAGAAGTTGCCAAACAGTCCCTAATAAAAGTACGATGAAAGGTGAACTCAAAATTGAGATCTTCTAATCCACTTGTTTGGAGTAAGGGCAAATGCGACAACCATTTTTTTAAATGATAAGGTTAGTTTTTTTAAAATTTCATGTATACCAATAAAAATTATTGTGATGTCATCTACTACATGCGTCCCGCTATATTTGTCCACTTTTGATTTTCGAAACTGTTCATCTAAGTACTTTGACTCGTCAAATTTTCTCAATATGTAAGCCTAAATATAATCATGTGTGATCTTGTTTGATTTGTCTTAACATATAGATTATTAATATATAATTTATATAATTTTTTAATATACAAATTACAAGATAAAAAGAATTAAAGAAGTGTATTAGATGATGTGTAAAAATAAAAGTGGACAAATACTGTGGGACGGAGAGAGTAATTTTTAGTAACATTCAATTTTTTGCATTTAATTAATTGGTTATAAAATAAAATTTTATATTATAAATATCACCTTAAATAGGACTAAAACATAGAGAAAAGTACCAAAATAGGACTTTCATATTTTTCCCCGAAATAAGATTTTGTACTGTGATAATGTGACTTTGCACTGTGGTAATGTGGCAATGTACATGTGCACATTACTATAATTTTTTGGTAATGTATATGATCATGTTTCGTAATATAAGTCCTATTTCGGGAATAAAAACATGGAAATCCTATTTTGGTATAATCTCAATGTTTTAATCATACTTTGGTCTTTCTCTCTTTATATTACCTAAAACTCCGTAAAAAATATTTTACATCCAATATTTGAAATAAAATTCATTATTTTTTGTCATTTTAAATAATCTATCAAACTAAAATCTAGT